ATGTGTATGCAAATTGTGAGATATTTTTTATTATTAAATTTTTTCAAAAATTTTAAAGGTATTTTTTTAATTTTTATTACTTTTAATATTTTTGTATATTTAGCTGTACTTTTTTATGATTTACCTACCAGCAAACATTTCAGCAACTTTTCAAAAACCATTACAACTTTTTTTTCGAAATTATTAAGAAAATAGTTTCAATTTCAAAGCTTAAGATTAACACTCCAAAATTCTCAATATAACTGTTAGTCCTTTTAGTGACAGTTGGTAAGCGTTCATATACTTCAACTTCGCACACTTTTTTTAAATTTTATTTCAAGAAGTCACTTTTTTAAACTTTTATTTTCACAAAAAGGCTGTTCGCGAGCTTTTATACACAAATTCAAACGCTTTTTACACTTTCGCTCTTCTATGTCCAGTGACTTTGGTATTTTTAATTTTTCCCCGTTTTGTAAATCCTTTGTATCAACTTTTAGTATTCAGCAAGTTTCTTGACCGCGCGTCTGCAGCAACGCAACAATTCTAAAACGTTTCACAATGGCTCTTTGAACTTTTATACTCAACCGCCGGGTATAGACAGGCCGCAGAAGGGTCAGCGTTTGTAAAGACATGAGACTTTAATTCTGACAAAATTAATTGAGGTACTAAAATAAGCGAAGCAGAGACGCGGAGGCAGCGCGGAGGCAGCCAAAATGATGCTAATACGAATTCGAAACCAAAACTCAGCAATAGTTTTCCCAAAAGCAAGCGTTAGACGGAGGAAAAAGAATTACCAAAAATGTAGAAGACTAGCGGAGAATGCAACACGCACGACTGCAAACAGCGCACACACAACCGAAATCAATAAAGCAGCCCTGAAACGCCGAATGTGCTGTGAAGTGGAAATTAGGGAGAATGGGGGAAGCAGCTTCAGCGGCGCCGGCGGCAGTGCGGTGACCGCAAACGCGACTCACTCAACAAATTAGGCCTGTTGCACGGTCGCTGAGTTGATCTTCGGCTGCGGCACGACCGCTTGACGTTTATAGCGTCGTTAAAAATGCATTTGACTAAGTTTTTATTAACTGTAATCGACGCGGCCGACGGTGTACAAAGGTGGAGATTGGAGAAAAGTCGTGAAGAAAAATTAGTAAAAGACACATTAAGTCCCGGCGCGGGCAGTGAGACCGACAGGGCAGCAGGCGGTAGCCGTTAAATAAATGACTTCTTAAAAGACTTATCAACTAGGGCTTTTGGTGAAATAATTGAGAGGCATCGAAACAAATCTGTTTTATTGAACGCGCTGCAAGAATGATTGCTCAATTGGTTGACACTTTGAAAAATTCGATTTGTCCATTGAAGCAACGTAAGGCACGGCATAACAGTTGTTGAAAAGTGGAATAAAGGAATTCTTCTGAGATTTTCTGCCTCAAAGACTTTACACTTTTCTTCGAAATTGAAAGAAATATTTTCCGAAATTAATGGCTGCTATTAGCAGCTTTGGTATATTAGTTGGATGAGAGTGGTGAGCATTGTGACTAAACAAGTGATCAAATCAAGCGGATTAACACGAGTATCGAAATTCTTTAAATTTTTCAAAAATATTTGCTTTCATAGCTATACAAGAAACTCAGAAAATAAAAGCATCTTCTCAGAATATCTGTAAAGAAAAAGTCGAAAAAAGGAAAGTCAAATTTTTTTAATATTATAATTTTTGTTATTATAAATTTTACTTTAAAATAATTACAACACAAAAAGTACTTAAAATATATAAACTTCTGCTTTCATATATTAAATATGTGGATATGCCGAAATTTTTTTAATTCTTATATTTAATTTGTACTTAAAATTTAATTAAACAATAATGTAATTTAAGTAAAAAATTAATAATTAATAAATATTAACCCTAGTAGCTTCAAATTGCGCTTAAAATCATAAAAGCTTAATAAAAACCCTTTCAAAGCTTTTGAAAGTCACTCGTCGGGTTCTCTCAGATCCGTCGTATGTATGTATTTTGAAGACAGCCGATATTCATTGTTGTTTTGTCTATGCTGTCCTTTATATCTAGAATTGGAAAAAATGGGACTTTAGCTAAAGCTATTAAACTTTCCAGAGTATCCAAATAATATAAATAAAATCTGCAATATTTCATAATAAAAGAAAAAAGCTTTCAAATATCTTCTCTTTTTAGAATAAGTGTAAAAGCTACCACATCTTAGGGGGCTTTCATAAGTTATTAGTTGAAAGCTTATTTTAAATGTGCTTTGAAGCTTTCATATATAAAGAGCTTTGGATGTGAACAAAGCACTGATACTCGAGCGCTGCATCTGAATTCATATATGAATGTTTTGAGAGGTTTCACAAATTAATAGAAACAATTAAAGCTCAATTTATTTATGTTGTGAAGCTTCATATCCTTAGAGGGAGCATAGCACTGAGGCTCCAGCGCTTTCATGCCGATTCATTTATGAAAATGTTTCAGTTCTGCGCTTAATGTTTGGAAGCTATCACATATATGATATGAAGTGAGTTTTCAGCAAAGCTTTTTAGACAAGATATTTCATTTACCTGGAGTTCAGTATGAACCAAGTCTCCACATCATCCGCCTCACCGTCCTCTGCATTACTCTCTTCTTCGCCGACGTTATCGCTAGTCACATTTGCAAGCGTTTCACCCTTGTCCTCCACTTGTTGCTCATTCTGGATCGTACTATCAATTGTATTTTGTGCCATAAAAGTGGGTAACTGTTTCTCAGCGCCTGCCGCTTCGGACTTCAATAGCTTGCCCAGCGTGAATACCGGAAAAGCGTAGTACTCCTTGGAGAGTGAGTACCGTGAGCTCAACATAGGCACTTTCGTGGGTGTAGTTGGTCTTTCGAGACTGTCGTCGACATACATAATCCGCAGTCCATCCCCATCCACTAACAACTCGTCCTTTTCAACGTCATCCTCCATACTGTCTGTCTCCGATTCGTAGGAGATTTTGTAATTGCTGAAGGAAGGTCGTGTTGTGGGCGTCACTTCCTCATCATTGACGAGGCGATGGTTTTGTGGCGGACTGGGCGCCGTCAACGGGAAGGGAGTTGTGGTCGAAGTGACGAGTCTCAGCTGATCCGTGGTCAACGGCGTCCACTGCACCTCGTTCGGCGAGTGATACGCCGAATAGTGTTTGCCTTGTTTGAAGCTTAACTTTTTCGCTGTTGGTACAGACTCTGCGGTCGCCGAATCCACGATGGGAGGCATAGCAGCTGGCGCAGCATAAACCACAGTGGGATGCGAAGTAGTGGTTGACCCTCGATTCAGCGCTTGCTCATGATCCAACATACGTGCCGCCTGACGTATATCAATTGCTTCGTGCTCGTAGAAAGGTATAAGCGTAAGGTTCAAAGTTTGTGTGCTACCCGGCATGCGGAAGCGCTCCACAATGGGTTTGGGTCGAAAGACGGGCACACTCGGCGGGTACAGCGCTTGCCCCGGCACCGGCTCCTGCATCGGATACTGTGGCGCTGTCAGCATGGTATTCAATATCAGCTCGCCTTTGGGTCCAGTATAGATGAAGACGGGCGCGGCGCGTCCACTGTCGTCACCAGGCATGCTATCGAATGTGGGCATGCTGAGACGCGGTATGTAATTCTCGCGACGCCGTGCTGGCGCCACAGCATTACCAGCCATAAAACGCGGTCTCTTACGCGCCAAAAACGGAGGCGGACGTTGTTGGAAATGCACGCGTTGCAGCGACATATAGCGACGTGGCAGTTGCAGGCGCGTTGTGTGTTTGGCGACGAGCATTTGCGGTCGCGTCTGGCGTGTTGTTGTGCGCATCGCCTGTACTGGTTGCTGATGCTGCTGCTGTACGAACCTGTGCGGTTGACTCGCTTGTTGCAGCTGTGTTGCGCTCAGCCGCTGTGCATACAACTGCGTCTGTGGCACGCGGTAGTTGTAAGGACTCGGCGTGGTATAGACCAATTCTGAGTAGTCACTCTGCGGCACTTGATCTTCCAGTATCCAGAGTGGCCGCTGCTGATTAAGGTAGCTGCTACCCAGCTGTTTGCTGACGCTCAGCGCGGTGCTTTCGACGGGCGGCCGATTAATTATGGCTATTACTAGCTGCAGATGGCAAAAGAGCAGCGCTAGGCAGGACAGACAGGCGTTTGTGAAAAACATTGTGTCGTTTTAGTTCTTGTCAGCTTGAGTTGTCTTGGTGCAAGCGCGCTCGTCAAATGAAATTCGCATACGCCCAATGTCTGTTTTTATAAATTGCTGTCAGTTGAGGTAAACAATGCGTGCCGCTCATAGAATCTTCAGACTACGTTTAATTGTTCTACAATTTAAAAACAAGTAATTTTTTATTAAATTTTGTCGGCTTTTCCGGTTATTTTTAATTCTTTGTGGACATTTTATTATATTATGTTTTTATTTGGGTGTCTGCTTTTCCCTCTTCGTACTTCTTTACTTTTTGTATGATTTTTTTTTAATATTTTTGGTTTCCCAGTAGCTCAAGAACCGGTTCTAAACTGGGTTCAACACTTTCGTTGCTGGTGAAATTCGCACCAAATTTTTCATTGGCGTTTGGTTGTATATGTCCAAATGCGCCACTGACTTAGTTCCAGTTTATCTTCACAAAACGAAACCAAATTGTTGTATGTAAATGGAAAATAAAGGCAGAGGCAAAAAAATTAACAAAATAACTAAAATAATTTTGAAAACTTCATCACAAAAAAATTGTTTTTTTTTTTTTAATTTTTTGAGATTAGTTTACAATTATTACTTTTTTTTATTTTCCATGCTCAAAAAATAAGTTGATATTTGATTAGAAATACGAAAATACTTTTTCGACTACCCAATATGTTTCAAATAAAATTATTTTGTTTTATAAAAAAAAATATATGCAAATTAGTAAGCAATTTCTAATTTTCCGTTTTGAATAAATTGTAATAAATTTTTTTTTGTTTTTTTTTGGAAAATTAACTTAATATTTTATTTTTTATACTAAAAATAAATATGAAATAAAATTTTGATAAGAAAATATTGGGTAGTTGAAAGAGACTTTTCGTATTTCTAATAAAACTTCAATAGATTTTTTTTATATACAAAACAGTAATGAACGAAATGTGACCATTTCGGTCGATCACTTTCCGCTAGAGCCCTTTCTGTTGAACAGTTCTGGCTACAGCCTGTACCCGGCGGTGTCCTCTGCTATGTTGTGACATGACATTTATGTTAAGTGAAATTTTATCATATGACATGTTTACATGAAATGTCGGTGGCCTACAAGCCAGGCTCTCTATAAGAAACGCTGGTGGCTGGAAAATCTTCAGTCGGCGCTGACCTGCAGGCCAGGTACTATATAAGAAACGCTGGTACCGATGACAGCTAGTGGCCGGCTGTCTCCGCTGTTATGTTGTGAAGTGATATTTATGTTAAAGGAAATGTTATCATATGACATGTTTACAAGAAATGGCGGTGGCCTACAGGCCAGGCTCTATATAAGAAACGCTGGGGCCAGTGCCAGCCACTGACCTGCAATATCATATGATATGATGTGTCGTTTTACAATGTAATGTGAAATGTTATCATGTGACTTGTTTTGATTTAGAGTGAAATTGATATTAATTTTAAGCCATCCGTATCTGGCACTCAACTTTCATCAGTTTTCGCCTTCAAATCCATCGATTCGGTTGTCACCTTTTTGAAGCTTGAAATCTTTCCTTTCAAATATAAATTTTAATTAAATGTAATTAAATTTTTTAATTTGATAAATTTCTTTACTTCAAAAATACAAAACCTCTCCATAAAATTCTGAAAGATTTCCTACTTTAGGTTCGAAGTCTACAATGGTATCGATTTCAAGTGGAAAAGTGATCCTATAAGTACCATAACAATTGCCCAGTCACCGCAGCGATAGCAAGTGCTTCGCCTGCACCGTCGAGTTCGTTGCTAAAGTCTTTTGTTTCGCTGCTAAGAATCAAATACAAGTGCGTACAAGTGCTGATTGCAATGAAAAGTACACGAATTGCGCGAGCAGGCCATGTTAAGCGGCGGGAAAGGAGTCAGTCAATAAACCAAAGCGGCCACAAATTGGCGTACAAATTACCTGTTTTGGTAATTTGGCGGCTACTGAAACCCCGCATTTAAGTACGTGCGAGGAGCGAATGACGCGGTAAAGTGTATACGGCGGAAAACTGTGGTTTGTTGCATGCAACCAGCGCAACGCTGCAGCAATGCTACACTTCATTGAGGAAGCAATCGTGTAGAACAAAACCGGCGGACGGACATCGTAGCTGTCAAAAATGACCATCAATCAAAAAACAACAACAATAACGACAAGTGTGCTTGGGAAAATAAGTGTAGGCCGTTTTTTCACTGTCTGTTTTGTGGTTGCTGTAACAAAATTATGAAGCGTGTTGAAGTGTTGGCTGAAAGAAAACTCTGTTACTGAGCCGACTCAAGCAAATATTAAGAACATTTTCTCAAGTATTCTCCAGAACCGCTTTTTTTCTGTTACTTGCTTGTTTTTTTTTTGCGTATTTCCTAAAAATTGTAATAATTTCGGCGGGTTTAATTAAAATCTAATTAAATGAGGTAAAACTAGAATTAAGATACAAATTAGGTAGAAATTCGAAAAATTAAAATAATTTATAAAAAATAATAATTTGAGAATTAATTTAAATAATTTTAATTAATTAGAACTACTTAAAATAATTAAATGTATTTTCATTTTTGATATTTTAATTAGGCGAGTTAAATTAATTTAATTAATTAAAACAAATTAGACTGAACAATTAAAAAAAAATTGAAATTCGAAAAATTAAAGTAATTAAAATAATAATAGTTTGTAAATACATAAGTTTAATTTAATCTAATTAATTAGAACATTTAGCAAGTTAAATTAATTTAAATAACTGAAGCAAATTAGATTAAGCAAATAAAATTAATTAAAGTAAGTTAAATTAAATAATTAAATTATTATTAATTAAAAAAATTAGTTTTGTCCGCCTTAATCAAAGTTAACTTATTTGAACTCAGTTAGCTACAAATTACGCTTAATTAAAATTTACTTAATTAAATAGAATGTCAAATACGATTAAATCAAGGCAAAGTCCTTTCAACCGCAAAGCTCGCATACCAGCTTTCTCGCCAACATTGAAATTTCTTTCGTACTCCCAAAAGCGCTGCTCAGTTGCCAACTGAAGTTCTCAAATCGAAATGAGGAAATTTCAAGTGAAAATATTTGATTTATGACCTACACATAGCCATGCAACACACACACACAGACACATAGCCACAAGCATGACCGATCAATCTGACCCAATATTACATATAATTAAAAGTAATTTGTGGCAACCCGCATGCAACATACACATGCATGCAACATAACCAACAACTGCCAACAAAAACAACAAGTCGTAAAACTGTATGGCAACAGCTCGGCAGTGACTGCATGGCATATTACAAAGTAAGGGCGGAAAATTATGTAAGCGCTGCGCTTACGTGTGCCACAGGGAATCGCGACTAAAACAACGGTTCATAAATTTGTGTAATGCAGCACAGTCAAAATATTTAGAATATTTTCGAAAACTTTCGGCTGGCAACAGTCAGTTGCTGCTCTGCGCGGCGTTAATAAACTCATACATATGCATGTGCGTATGTGTATGTGTATGTGGTGCCATCGATCACAGCGCTTCACAAGCCATTAGAAGAGTCATTCATCTCCGTTACAAGTTTTCACCCAAACCAGAAAAACACACACACACACGAAATGAGGAAGAGCCGCGCTACAATTGAATGAAGCTGCTTTTTGCTTTGTGACCGATTTTTATACTTTTCGCTTGCTTTCTCCTCCTTCGCCCCTGCTTGCGTCGAGCGCACAGCAGGTAACATGCACAAGTTAAGTTATTCCAGCCGTATCTGCTACCAGTGGCTTGATTTAATTGTTTTATTTAGACTTCAATCAATAATTTTTGTTGTTTTTTTTTCTTGCACTACTTTTTCTCAGCTATCCATGTGCTCCCTAATTTGCTCTAATGAGTTGGTATAGCGTGTCTTGTCTCACTCCTTTGTATGCTAATTAAATGAATATTTATTTTTCAACTAAATTTCTTCAAATATCTTTTACTTTTTATTCCTCTTTTAATTTTTTTTTTTTTTTTTTT